AGGAGTCTTGCAAAAAAAAAAAAGAAAAAAAAAAAGACCTTCTCAGAGCTATTTTAAGATCTTAGGTCATGAGTTAGGTCATGAGCTTCTTAGCATTTGGTGTGGTATCTGAGTAGACCCTTGGATTATAGATCAGAGCAGGTGCAGAAGACTGTACTATAAATACTTCTACCCTTAAGGAGTTCACAAATTTCTTGAACGACAAACCGGACAGAAACATACTAGTTCTGAAGAGGAAAATTATTAAAATAATTTTGGAAGAATTTAAAGCTTTATTTTCCAACAAGTCATCCCATAGTTCTTAATTATAAAAGCTAAAATGCTCTTCACTGTTACCTTAGAAATGTTACAGAAAACCTTTTACAGAGTTACAGCATGTATTTATGAAGCATGACTGGCATGTTCAGGGGTATTTCTGTACTCATTTGCTGCCTGCTGAGCTGTGCAGGGAACTGACTGTCAGGATTCCTGCCTTCTATTTTAGGGCCTTCTCTTGCCTTATGGCTGGAGCATACATGACCAATTCCCTCAGGGGAAGTTTTGCCATTTATACACTTCTCTTAGAGATATTGTCCCTCAGCTCCCTTAGTGCAAAGCTCTTATCCTTACAGGATGAAATACACTAACTGTAGTGGTAAAACCTGCCTAATTTCATCAGTATCTATTGTTTTGTTTGTTTTCCAGGTGAATACGGATGTTTTCAATTTCCTGTTTTTTGATGATATGCCACACTCATGTTGCTGCTCCCTTTCTCCAAAACGAACCTTCCAGTTCTACAAGGGCTCCAGAGGTCTCAGAGACCTTTGAGAAATTAAGTTGTATTTTATTTATATTTGCCTTTCTGTGAGGAAACACTCCAATTTTCAAATGACGCATACAGGCCTATGAATTCACTCTGACCTAATTTGAATCCTTAATCATCTTTTAAGAGGCATGTTTTCATAGAACTGGCAGAACCAGTTGTAGTATAAAGTTAGGTGTCATTTCCTGCATATTCCTTTAAAAAAAAAAAAAAGAAAAAGAAAAGGAAAAGCAACTCCAAGGGTATGTTTGAAGTTTTTCCAAATGAATATATCCACCTACCAAAAAAAAAAAAAAAAAAAAACAGCTCCCTTAGTGCAAAGCTCTTATCCTTACAGGATGAAATACACTAACTGTAGTGGTAAAACCTGCCTAATTTCATCAGTATCTATTGTTTTGTTTGTTTTCCAGGTGAATACGGATGTTTTCAATTTCCTGTTTTTTGATGATATGCCACACTCATGTTGCTGCTCCCTTTCTCCAAAACGAACCTTCCAGTTCTACAAGGGCTCCAGAGGTCTCAGAGACCTTTGAGAAATTAAGTTGTATTTTATTTATATTTGCCTTTCTGTGAGGAAACACTCCAATTTTCAAATGACGCATACAGGCCTATGAGTTCACTCTGACCTAATTTGAATCCTTAATCATCTTTTAAGAGGCATGTTTTCATAGAACTGGCAGAACCAGTTGTAGTATAAAGTTAGGTGTCATTTCCTGCATATTCCTTTAAAAAAAAAAAAAAGAAAAAGAAAAGGAAAAGCAACTCCAAGGGTATGTTTGAAGTTTTTCCAAATGAATATATCCACCTACCCTTTTGTCTGTTACCAGAATCGACAGTGTGAACTCCCTTCAACCAGCCCAATCCATGCACAAAAAAGCAGGTCCTTCTCAAGGCAAATTTCTGCCTATGTCAAGGGATATATGACATGATAGAAACATCATGATATAACAGGGTTCCAGCCTTGCTCTGGGAAATGATACCGTATTGTCAGTAAGCCTGAAGTGCAATATCACCTACTCCTAGGAGGATTAGTGAATTTCAAAAACAATATATCCTTCTCTGGTTCTTTGTGTTGGCTGTCTTGATTTTCTACAGAGCCCGATTAAATTGACAGAATTCAAAACGAGTGCAGGAGGTATTCCCCAGAAGCAAGTAAAACTACTGCTAGGGAGCTCCTGCACCATTTGTCGATGAGAGAGATGAGATAGCTGTGTGGAGAAAAACGAAAAAAGGTAACAAGTAACATTACAGAATTGGTATTATGTCAGAAAAGCAAAGTTTGTGCTGCCTTCTTTTTTCAGTATGCAAAAATAATTTGTACAGTCTTTCTTCACATATCAATTAAAGAGGGAGAGACTATACAAGCTATTTGATTTCCAAGCCTATCTTTCTTAGCCAGCTGGAACAGAAATTTCCAAGCAATTGAAATTGTTATTGAAAGGTATAGCAAGCATGTTTATACGTGTCGGTACTTTTCATATTCTCTCTATGAGGAAAAAAAATAAATTAAATCACCATCAGCCAGTTCAGCCCCATGGATACAGGGTCATCTTGATATAAACAAAGCGTATTAATTGGACATTTTCATGTAAGTGGAACCTCAAGATTCTGTTTTTCTGTGGAGGTGATAGCATCCTCCAGGTATTTTTTAAAAAAACTTCTGAGTTCCTTTCCTTCTCCGCCTATCTCATACTTTCTCATGTATCCCAGAGGCTCCCATGTCATGGCTAACATTCTTTTAGAAAAAATGGAGCTGCACAGGAATTCTTTAAGAGCCTATCAGCGCCGCTCCCAAATTAGCCAGACAGGATACTGTTTGTTTAATTTCGCAAGACATTTGCTTTCCCCAAAGCCAGAAGAGCTACCTCAGTAAATTCCCAGCCATGATACTCTACCCTTTTTAAGGAATTTTTGGTGACAGAGGAGTAAGTTCTCCTAAACTAGGAACAAAACATACTGATACATTTCACAATGCAGTCAGGTTGTTGAACAATATGTAACTAGGTGTACTGTAAATATTCACTATACTTATCTCAGAAAGGTCCTAATCTGTTCTAATTGGGTATATTGTAAAAGCAAGATAAGTGCAAAGAGAAAAACTCACTTTAGAGTTGGCTGCGACTAAATCTGCAGACTTTTTCAATACTCTGTTGCCTGGTGGTTTTAAACATTCTGTGACAGTGCAATGCTGTTTATATTTTGATGGGTTTAAACAGTATTTTTTTGGAACTGATAGATAGGGATGAATGAACAATATTGTATAGAGAAGAGAAAATTTCACCCTCTAGAAATATTTTACTTCATGATTTTTACTGGTATTGTCATAGGAGTTTGGTTATTAAACCAACACAGTGAGAAAGGAATGCAGTGAGAAATCATCTTTTCTTTAAGTAGGCAGAAGGAAAGCGGCTCTTTTGCCAGTGGTCTTCCGCACTCTAGCAGCAATGCACATGAATCCCTGCGCCTAGTTGCGAGCCTCTCTGAACTTTGTATGGTTCACAGCTGAATTCAGAGTATGGCCTTTCTCAGGAGTAGGGGAAGATAACTGTTGGTCTGACCCCTGACCAGGGGGCTTTGCTATCTTGTAGAGCTGAAGCTTCATGGTGCGGCTTGTTTAAGCTCTCCAGGAGCTGGCCTCCAAGGCCTGCTTTGCAAATCTAGCCCTTATTGCCCTGGCAAGTACAGCGGGCCGGAAGCCGTAGGACATTCCTCCTGCTGCAAAGTAACATCAGTTCAGCTGATCCAGTGACAGCACCAGGGAGGAATTTTCTGCTGCAAGTACTGAGCGCAGACAAAGAAGCTGCTTAATTTTCTCTGTGTGCAACCCAAATCCTGCGGGGCTTGTGCACGTCCGTGTACTTTCTGCACTGTATAAGGGAGCGTGCGTCGTGGGGACAGAGCGTGTTGTGTCTTGCTCACTGTGCTCATGAGACTGAGAGACCCGCCAGAAGCGAAAATAGGTCTCCACTTAATTATATGTTATTTTGTTAATTGCCTCTCTGCTGCTTTGTCTCTCGCTGGTGTTGCAGACAGAGGGTGCAAGCCACCTCTCCAGACAGTTTCTCTGTCCCAGCTTCTCCTGGGCTCCATCCCTTGCAGCTCTGGCTAGCACGAGGAGGGCAGCCGACCCGCCACTGTCCCAGTTGAGGGGCATCGTAACCCTCCTCTGCCTTGTCTTTTCAGTTCAGTGTTTGCACCCCTTGCACATAGAGCGACGAGGCACGTCTCCCTGCAGAGCCAGAAGTCCCAGCGAGGTACTGCAGAGGA